AGCCTGGTACTCGGGCAGGGACCCCGGGGAAGGAGGAGCCCCAGGGTGCTGAGCCCCAGTTCCCAATGCATGCACCGCAGGAAATTTGATGGTGGCCTTGCCATTCAACAGCACTCACTCAGCATCCCCTCTGAGCTCCACTGGGTGCCAGGTCCAGCTCCTCCCCCACATCTGCCCATCTGGCTACCCGTGGGTTGGCCCAAAGGTTGAGGGTGAATCCAATCCAGACCTCATCCCTGGAGGGGACTGAAGGAGAGGGTTTGGAATGGGGGAAGGAGCAGTGAGATCCCGGGAATTGGGGAGGGTTCTGGGGAGGTGGAGCAGGGGAAGGGTCATTGGGTCACAGTGGCCTCTTTTTGGGGTTCAAGACAAACACAGCAACAATAGTCATTCACTGGACATAGTCCATAAGGAAGTTTCTGTCCCTCAAGGATCTTTCAGTACTTTGGAGGAGAGACCCCAGGGCTGGGAAGGGGAGCTAACTGGTGCTGGGAAGTAGGGAGGGGTCTCAGTGTCTGCTGGGTGAGTAGTCTGGGGGTAGTTAAGACAGTTCTGGGAAAGATGTGATGAGGGATGGAGGTAGGGGTGAGGGTGGCAAAGAGGCATCCAGGTCCTTGTGGAAGATGGGGGTAGATTCAGACAGAGAGAATGTGGAGGGGAGTTGGGGTCCTTTCATCTGAGTGAAAGTTTCTTGAGGGCCAGAGGTGGGAAGTAAGGCAGAGGGGCTGGGAAGGCAAGTGAGAAGGCCCTTGTCCCCTCCCACATGTCTGTGCCCCACCTTCTGGGGTAGAAGGATGGCTTGAGACTTCCCCCTTCACCAAGTAAGGCTGCTGCTGGTCCACTCAGCTGCACGCTGCAGCCCCTTTCCTTCCCTCCTCCCTTTTAAACCCCCTCTTCCTGGATCCTCTTGGTCCAAGGATGGGTGTGAAAGCACGGGTCCTGCCCATGTGGGCCCCAGTTTCCAGGTACTCGGATGGCCCTGTGGGGCTCCTCTGGGCCAGGGAGGCCTGGGTGCCATCCCCATTCCTAAGCAAAGGGCTCTGGGGAGGTTTGTCTCACCCCCGCTTCCATCCCCCTTCTCCTCCAAGCAGATGCCTCACCTCCTGGGCCCTCCTCATTGGCCCCCAGCCCCCAGTTCCCTCTCTTTGTGGCTTGGGGCATGAGTCTCTCGTCACAGGGGAGCTCTGTGTGAGGCTGAGGAAGAACCCCCAGCTGGACCATCCCCAGAAGCCTCCCCATCCACCCCTGCTCTCCCACCCCAGCCCCTCCCAGGGGCTGCAGCATTCCCCGGAATGCCCGAAGCCCCTTCCCAGGCTGCAAACTGAGCGCCTGCTCCCTCACGTTCCCCCCGCCCCCCTCCCTGGGCACTGAGCTGTGGAGCAGAATGATTTCCTGTAATTGGCCAGCAATCCGGCTGCCCGACTTGTTCTATCGACATGCTGGTTAGCTGGAAATTGTATTGGAATCTGAGCAGCAGGGAGGGGAGGGGGGAGCAAAGAGAGGAGGCTCTTTGAGTCCCAGCTGGGTGCAGCCTTAGCTTGGTGGGTGGGACAGAGGAGCCACCAGCCACATCTCCCCTTTCCAGAAAGGAGCAGGAAAGCAACCCACAGCACCTCCCCACCCCTTCATTGGGCTCCTTCTCTCTCCGGGGGTCTCCTCTGCCCACTCTTATGTGGCCCTGTGGCCTCAGGTCATCACTGCCACCCCATTCCCTCTCCTGCCCCTGGGACTGGTTCCTCCTAACTGAAAGTGCCTTTGTGAGAACTAGGGGCATCAGGCGACATGGCTATCCCTCTCCCACCCAATTTCCAGCCATGGAGGCTCATTATGGAGAGTCCCGAAACTTCCCCTGCTGCTCCCTTCACCCTCACCAAGGAGAGAGACCGAACATCTGAAGAAGAGTTGACAATACTCCTAGATAAAGAGCCACGGGGAGGGCCGGCTCCGTGGCTTAGCGGTTAAGTGCGCGCGCTCTGATGCTGGCCGCCCGGGTTCGGATCCCGGGAGCGCCCGGAGGCACCGCTTCTCCGTGCAACGCGAGGCCGAGTCCCACGTCCAGCAACTGGAAGGATGTCATAGGTTCACTATGACATACAACTGTCTACTGGGGCTTTGGGGGGAAAAAACTGAATAAATAAAATCTTTAAAAAAAAAAGAGCCACGGGGTAATTAATGGGTGCTGTGAGGGCAGGGGGAAGAGCATTCTACTGAGTCCAGAAGCTTGGCAACTATGCTTGTTTGTTACTCAAGCCCCTCACCTCCCAGCCTCTGTGAAATTCTGGCCTGGCCTCCTTCACTCCTTCACAGATTTGGGAGACTTCAGGGAGATAACCGTGTGAATGTGCTTTGTAAACTATAGAGCTCTGCGAATTACCCCAGAGCCAGCTCAGGCCTGGGAATGGCGGTGGTTTTAGGGGCCTGCCTGTCCCCTTCGGCCCCCACCAAGAGGCCTGTGCGTCTGCAGCCCTCGCTGGTGTCTTCAGTGCTCCGCGCCGGGGTGCTAATGACCTAAGTGGGAGACTGGGGCGCAGGGCTCGAGTGCGGCTGGAGGGTGGGAGCCCAGGGTCCCGGGCCCGCTGCCCTCGCGGGGAGTGGGATGCGGACACCTCCCTCCATCCCGCGGCGGCATGAACGAGCGGGGCCCACAGCTCCAGCAAAGAGGACGCGCGAGCAACACAGCTTTATAATTAGCGCCGGGGGCAAGGCAGCCTCTTGGCGCGGATCCCAGGCCGCGGCCCGGCAGAGGAGGCGGGAGCACGACCCGGAGAAAGTAACCGCTCCGCGAAAGCCCGCCGCCGAGGCCCGACCCCAACCCGGGCGGGTGCTGCCACCTGCCGGCCGGAGGGGAGGCCGCTCGCTGGGGCGCGGGGCTGGGGCTCCGGGTGGCCTGGACCCGGCTGTAACCAGGCTTCTGTCCGGAGCAGCGGCCTAACCATGAAATCACGCCGCGCCCCGGGAAAGTAAGCCTTCATCTAAGAGCGCCTCGGGCGGGCCACCCGGCCTGGGAAAGGGAGGCGCGAGGAGGGAGGCATGAGGAGGCCGAGCGGGAGCTGTCGCAGGAGGGGGCACCAGGAGGGCTGCATGGTGTTTTCTCCATACCTTCCTGTCTGGCCATCCTCTGACATTCCTGCATCAAATTCACCAGGGATGAAAATAATTCTTTGGAACCTTACAGTTTACAAAGGGTCTTCACTGTCCTCCATTTATTAAGTCCTTTGACCTAAGCATCATGAAGCCTGCTTGACAGAAGAAACCGAGCCAGGAGGTCACATAAATAGGAGACTGGGCCAGGACACAATTCCAGGTCTGCTCCTCCCTGGGGTACAGTTCTGAAGCCTGGCTCTGTGACCCGAGTCAGATCCCTCCACCTCTCTGAGCCTAGAATCAGAATAATCAATGTTACGTTCCCTCTAGGGTGTCACACACCTACCACAACGTCCAGCAGGTCACAGGAATTCATGAGGAGTCATGTTCTCAAAGATTGGGGTAACGGCACTGGGAGGGATCCATATCTTTCCTCCTTTTCCCCGCCTGCCAGGTCCCACCAAACTGGGGAAGCAGCTGCCTTCTGCCATTCTCCTCCTGCCTTGGCCCCCACCCCACAGCTCGCCACCTCCTTGACCAGCCCTTGCCCCTTGGGGGTTTGCAGTGAGTTAATTAGCTGGTCTCTGAGGTATGAGCTCTGGGAAAGGGGGCACTAAACATGGCTGCCACAGCATTCACATTTGTCACACTCATTTCTGGCCTTAATAGGCTGCTGGCCACAGGATCTTCACATCAGCAGGTCTGCCAGCTCTGGCTAGGGAAAGCTGACGTCTACACTGGTCTAATTGGGCTGGGGAAGGAAGACAGGGTAAGCGGGTGTGATGCTGCCCCAGCAGCTCCAACCACCTCTCACCAAGGTACACCTGGACCTGGCTGGAATCCTCTTACGGCCCCGGGAGAAATCAGAGGGCTACTGTACCTTCTGGGGCCTGGGGAAGTGAGGCGCCCAGGCCTCAGTGTGGGAGGAGGCCAAAGGTAACCCCAAATGGTATCGGCCAAGTCTGGGAACCTCGGTCAGTGCACGGTGCTAGGGAAGCAAAGGCAGTGCAAGGCGTTTCAGATCAACACACTTTATTGAGCACCAATGGCGAGTCAGCCTCTGCACCAGGAACACAGAGATGAAGAAGACACAGTCCCTGCCTGCAAAAGGCTTACAATCTAGTAGGAGAGACCAATCAGCTTTTAGCTGATTACTGTGGATTCAAGTAAAATGTGGGGGGCTGGTATCCCAGAGCATCTAATCCAGCCTGGGGCTTCAGAAAATGCCGGAGCTAGGAGTCAACCAGTTATAGAAAAAAATTAAAAAGGTATTCCAGGTGGAGGAGCAGCAAGGCCAAAGCACAGAGTGGGGAAACTGCCTGGCGCACGTAGACTGCCAGGAGCTCAGGGCCAGGAGAACATGGAGTGGGAGGCAGAGGGCGGGAGGGGTGAGCAGCGTGTGGGGGTACAGAGAAACGCCAAGGTGGGACAGCAGGTCATTCCAGAAGAGGCCTGGCCTCTGCCCGGCTACAGCATTACCCACAAGGGATTCCTCACTACCTCCTGGAGAGGGCTTCAACCTAGGGGACAACCCTGATCGAAGGTGGCAGCCCTTGGTCCCACAGTCCACGAAGGAGGTTTTGGCCATGATGGGGCATGTGCTCAGAGAGGGTTCAAGCCAGGGAACCTCCCAGCTTTAAACGCTGTAGCCCACTGGTGAGGGCCACAAACTGCTCCTCACCCCCAACCACAGGAAATTTATAACAGTCTCCCACTGCTGCTTTCATGCCCCATCATGGACACTGTTCTGTAGGTGGTTCCAGAGGGAGGGGCCCTGGGAAGGTGGGAAGGAGCATCTACTGACAGAGGGCTGTTTCTCTGCCTCAGACAGGATGCACTCCAAAGGGTCTGTCCAGTGCAGGGCTCCAGCCCAGATTCAGAGAGGGCGTGTGTGTGTGTGTGTGTGTGTGTATGTTGAGGGGGTTGGGAGGAAACAGGATGATTCGTTACCTAGCTTCTGGCTCTGAGGAACTTGAGGTGGGGGCTTCCTGCCTCGGCGGTCCCAGCTAGGGGGAAGGCAAGAGGTAGCGGGTGAGCAGGTAGAGGAGGCTGGCAAGGACAGCCAGACCTGTGAGGACCCCGAGCCTCAGTGGCAGGTACTCCAGGGAGCGCTCCAGCTTGGCGTGCAGGAGGATGACCTGGCGTTTGGTGACACTCCACTCGCCCGAGTTGTCTAGAACATGGCGGGCCATGCGCGCCTTGTCCTTCAGGGGCAGCTGGGCCTTGATTCGGGCCTCTGCGTCCTCGCGGCTCAGGTTGTTCCGATGCATCAGCCTTGCCAGCTGCGTGTCCCGGTCACTAAGGACAGGGCGAAAGGGCTGCTCAGGCATCACAGGCCCCAGCCTCCCTCCCACCGGCAAGTTACAGGGGTGGGCAGCCCCGGGAGCTCCCTGGCTCCCCCCCACACACCCCATTCTTTGTGAGGACTCCAGGCTGGTAGCACTACGGGCTATCTAACCCCCATAATATAAACAGGGAGGGAAAAGGCTGCAGCTGCTGTTCTCTGCCATCTGGGGTCTCTCTGCTTTGCCACTAGGCCTGAGATCTCCCAGTCACAAGGGGAGGATCTGATCACCTGGAATCAGCTTCTTCCTCGATCACTGGATGGGTGACCTTTACTGAAAGGCCGTGCCTGCCAGCTAAACTCTTCCTGAAGCTCCCCTGGGGGCCTGGGCCTGCTGCACCAAAAGTAGCTTCCTGGGCCACCGCAAAGACCCCTCTCCTTGTCTCCCCACCCCCACCCCTGCACATTTACAGCAAAAGGACCGTGCGGAGATGGCGGCTGCTGTGCTTGTTGCCACTGATGAAGTGGGACGGGCCAGCCCCACGGTGCTTCCAGCAGGAGCGAGGAGTTGAGAACTGGATCCTCTCAGTCCTCAGACAGGACTAAGCACTGCAGATTAAATTCAAAGAATACCTCTTCTGCCCACTCTGATCTTACCATCTGGGTTCCTCCTCAGGAAACGCCCTGTCCTGCCTCTGGCTACAAGGGAGCTGTCCAGCTGTGCTCTGGAGTGGGCTCATCTCTAACACCCCTCTAGCTCTATGACCACCTCAGCCTCTCAATGGGAACGAGGAGGGAAAGGGCTGCAGGAGCTGTTCTCTGCTATCTGGGGCCTCTCTGCTTTACTCCTAGGCCTGAGTTTATAAGATGGGAAGATTGGATCACCACAATTTGGTCCCTTCTGAGGTGTGGCCTACACCAGGGGGCCTCCTCGGATGTGAAGACAGACTTTCCAAGGACAGACATAACGCCAGCCAGTTCCAATGCCATGCAGAACAGAATGCTGCAGACGGTCATTTCTGGCTGGACGATCAGGGAAGACCTTGTAGAAGGGATAGCATTTGTAATGACTTTGAAAAGTAAGTAGGACTTGTGATTTCCTGTTATGGGGACAGCAGACTGTCGAGGTCATGGGGCCAATCCCCGCCTGGCTGAGAACAAGGACTACATCCAACCTTAGTCAGGAATACCACAAGTCTGTGGCTGGGAAAATCTGGGTGAGAGAATGGAGATGGCTTAGGGCCACCTGTGCATCACATTCTTTGGAAGGTGTGGCCTAGACCTGGGATGTGAAGGCAGAACTCTCCGACAGCCCTTCCTGGGGCTCAGAAAGAGTCCCATATTTAGTTTAAGGATTGACGCTATCTGTGGTAATGGGATTTTTACCCAAACACTTATCCTGTAATTGGCTAATTACTCAAAAATGTGAATAATCACATTTTGGTATAATCACGCTTAGGTAAATGCCCCTTATTATTTCAAATGCACTAGGGGCAGTTTGCCAGCTAAAGGGATTCTCGTTTTTGTAAAGTGTAGATCCCTTTTATGAAAAGCAAATAATCAACTCATTCATACCTCTCTGGCAACTCTCGTGAGCTATACACCCACATGTGCTGAAAGTGGAGCATAAACGGCACCCAGGATTCTGGCACAGGCTCCTCTGGCTGTGAGTGGGGCTGTAGGATCTCCTGGCAAGCAGGCAGAATCTACAAAGCCCCACTCATCTGCCAGGAGCCGCAGCTCTCTCTGCTCTAACCTTCGAGACCAACCTCGAAGGAAAGCCAGGAGGTGGCAAGGCTGGGTGTGGAGCCATCTGGTGACTGCTGATGCAACCAGCCCCGGTTCTGTTTCCTCATCTACACTCTAAGGTCCCCCACTTTTTTTATCCTTTGGTACAAAGTTCCAATTGTATTAAGACTCCAAGGAAAGAGAATTCTAAGTAAGTCTTCGTGGAGTTTGCTTGGCCTCAGCTGACTGTCTTTCACAAACAGGGAACAAAGAACCCAGAGAGGCTGCAGGTTTACATGGGGAGACATGGGCCAGTGGGGGAGCTATGAGGATGCCTGAGTCCCTACACGGAGCTCAGCAGATTCAGACTGGGCTTTAAATGCCAGTCTGGGGGGTGGGGGGGCGCTGCGGGGGAGGGCAGGGTGATGCTTTAGGGCACTGAGCACTCCAGGCTCCACCTCCAGTGTGCTAGGAGCCTCCCACGCACTAGTCTCTTGAGAGCCACTCTGTGCCCAAAATACCCACGGAGCCAAGTGCCCACCTCTGTGCGTGTTGTACTTGTGGGTGGCATCCAGGAAGCTTCTGGGAGGCAGAGCCACCCTGTAGACTTCTCTACTCTCACCCCGCTGGGACTGTGACTCATTTTCTCTGACAGTTTGATCCTCCTCTGTTTGCCAAACCTGGATCCTGGTTTGCTTCATGTCCTGGAGGATTCTAAGAACAAAGCTCCTGCCTTAGCTGGGCTCTGACAGTTTCCTCCCTGCACCTTTCTGTTCATAGGTGTTGCCAGTGGGTGGCCCTGGACAAATTCTGTAACTCCTCCTGGAGTTTTCTCTTCTATAACTCAGAAGTATCAACTCCTGCCCTGACGAATTCAGGTTGAAAGGTAAACTGAGTGAACTGATAAATGTGGGAGCTGTTTGGAAAGTTGAGAAGTGCTACACGAGGGAAAAGGGATCCAGAGAATAACAACATGGTAGCCCAGGGCAGGGCCTGGCATCTGGGCTGAAGTGCCTCCAACAGCCAGCAGGGGGAGCCCTTCCCAAGCACTAGAGAAGCCTGGGAGCCATCACTTCCGACACCAACCTGAGGGTATATCTGGATCAGGCACAGGGACAGGTTTCTACAGGCTCTGGGCTGTGCCTCCTGGCTACCTGGTGGGGAAAGGGCAAAGCGATGTGGGCTACTTCTAAGGTACATGCCCTACTCCAGGGGTACTCCCTTCCAGCCTCGGTCAGGCTGGGCTATGCCGCACACTCACCAGTATACCACCACTGTGTGCTTCATGTACTTGAGCAGCTTCTTGGTCTCAAACAACAGGGGGATATCCAGAATCACGTAGCGGTATCCTGGGGAGAAGCCGGGAAACCCACAAGTTCAATTCTGCAAGCACACATGAGGACTGACTATGGGTTAGGTGTGGGAACAGAGGTGAAGCCACTGCTCTAACCATGGAGAGCTCCCCAGCAGAGGGGGAGACCTTCCAAGGACGGGCATCACCTGAATACTAGCCAGTTCCAATGCATGCAGAACAGAATGCTGCAGAAAGTCATTTTTGAGATGATCAGGGAAGATCTTGTAGAAGGGATGGCAGCTGTACTGGCCTTGAAAAGCAGGTAGGACTTCTGATACTTGAAAATGAGTGGGTGGAAGTGAAGGTTCCAGGAACGGGGAACAGCAAAGGACAAGAAGCAGCGAGGTTCTACTGCTCTGGCTGAAGTGCAGGCATGGAGCATGTGGGGCAAAGCTGACGAGGTAGTCAGGGCAGGCACAAAGGGTTCATCGAGTTCACTTTGATCTTAAACCCAAAGAGTTGTTATTTCTGAGCAGGGAAATGACACAGCCAGAGTTGTAGGAGACTGGGGAGAGTTTCCAGGAGTAACTGGGCCCTTTCTGCCCTACTTCACCCACCTTTGCTCAAAAAACAAAACACAAAACAAAAACAAGAGGTTTTCCCCCCAAGAGCCAGGTCCAAGCCTGGCCTCCTGCTGAAGAGTCCTGCACAGCTATCTCTACCAACCCTCCACAACAGACTCATATGGGGTGAAGCCCCAAAATGAGAGGCTGCTTCTGGGCATCAAAGGCAGACCTCCAGCCAGGGACTGCAGGGACTGGTCTGGAGGTGTGGGGCGGTTATGACTAAAACCGTATAACCAACTCCAGTGAAGTAGAAGGCATTGGCTGCCTCTCCCACTACAAGCCAAGGCCAGTCAAGATGGCACCCTCACCCACTGTGGGTGGGCATGGCGCTGGGCTGCTCACCCAGAAACACCGTGGGCTACATACTCTCCTAGTTCTCTTTATGGCAGTGACCCCTGCGTGTAAAACAGCTGGCCTGGGTCCAGAAGCAGGGATGGAAAGGGACGGGCACTGCTTCTGCCCAGACACCCCTGCCTGGCTTGGATGGTGTCCCACTGCAAACACTTCCGATCACAGAACCAGACACACACCACACTAATCACAGGGGTGTCACGGGGAAACTGACACTCCAGGTGATACAGGGAACACGGTGACAACCCAAGCCACTGGGTTTCCTGTTCTCCAGGACCCGCTGCTCAGGAAGCCCAAGAGAAACCTTCAGTTGAATGCTGGGTTAAGAGAATGGGCTCTGATGACCCGCCAGGGTTTGCAGCCCCCACTTTCTCACTAGGTGACTTTGGGCCCCTTAACAAACTGCATCTGTGTAAATGAGTGAAAAGACTACCCACTTCACAGGCAGGTGGTAAGGATGGAATGAGCAAAGGCATGTAAACCGCTCAGCATCCCTCACCCAGACCCCTAACTAAGTACCCCACAGACGATGGTTATTATTACCATTGGTCCCTGGAGGAGGGAGGCCGGCTCCCCTCCCAACTCAGAACAGGAGCCAAGGCCAGATCCTCCCTGGGCCTCTTATCTCCCTTCCCTGCTCCACTCCTGTCCTTTCCTCTCCCCTCACTGTCCTTTCTCCACCGACCCTCTCGGGAGCTCGTGGCCAGCCCTTTGGTTCACTGGCAGAGGGCTATTCAGCTGTCACATCTCTCCTGCTTGATAAGCTCTGCAAACTCTCCTGACTCTATGAAGACATCCGTCTGCCTACACACAGGCCTCCCCAACAGCTGGTGATCTTATCTGACGTCTGATTATACCAACTTTGACAGTTGTATTTGTTATACTCATCAGGGAAAAACTGGGACTGTGGAAGCCACAGCTGTCGTCCCCATTTTTCACTTTATCGAGCTGAAAAGAGCTTTCTGGCTTTTATTTAAGTGGTGATGGTTGGGGAGAGGGGAGGCTGGGTGGTGACACAGCGGGAGAACTTTGGAGCAGGTGACATTATCTGATGCTTCATTTCAGGTGGGGTGAGCCACTGCCTCCTCAAAGCCCTGCCGAGGTACTTGCAACTGGCCCGGGAGCGAAGGCAAAAGGGCAGGAATGAACGGCAGAAGGCTTCGCTCCTGGGTGGGGGACGGGATGAGGGCCTAGCACAGACACAAGAGGCAGGACAAAGGCAGAAAGAGTCCAGAGACTCCTTGAGGGAGGAGGAGGGGAGGGAGGCCTGCGGCAAGGTACTGAGATGGAGAGCCAAAGCGGGTCCAGCAGGGGGAGGGGAATGGGAGTCAACTCATGGATGTCTGTCAAGTCATTCCTTTCCTTCTGGAGAAGGTACTGGCCAGAGGGGGACAGGGGTGAGAGGACGTTCCCCACTCTGTACAGGAGAACTTGATGCACAAGAGAATAAGGGGTTTGGCCATGATCACAGTGTAAAAGCCCAAAGAAAATCTAGAAGGCTCCCCCATACCCTCCAGGAGGAAAGTCTCAGCATCATGACTGAAAGTGGGGAGACAAGCAGCTAGGACTTCAACTCTGAGGCCCAGGTGTAGCTGGAGGCTACACAGGCCAAAGGCTGGGAGGCAGATCTGCAGGGGTCCTAGGCCAGCCTCTCGCCTGATCCCAAGCCACTGCTCTCTGCTCTCCCACTTGTGGTGACTGATCGCATCCTGGACAGCAAGTATCAGGCCAGCCCTGCCCAACGGCATCCTGAAGAACAGGGCTTGAATAGTGGTGTATGGCTTGGGAAAGGTTGCTGACAGCTGCAGAAGGTTCTTGCCAAGTGACCAGAGACCCCTGCTTTCCAAACACTCTCCCCTTCTTTCGGTCCCGGCACATCACCTGACTGTCCCTGCACATACCAGGCCCACTCTCTCCTCTGAGCCCCAGCTCCGCAGGATTATCTTCCACTTAGAACCCCCAAACACCTGCCCTGGCTGTCCTGGACCCTCCCCAATTTCCAGTCTACAAACTTACATTCCCAGGAGGCTCAACCAGCACCAAATCTGACTCTGACCAGTTTCCATTTGTGTGGTGATCGACATTACTGCTGTGGACTTAGTCCCCCGAACAGCTTTCAAGGTTGGCATTAGCTTCACTATGCAGAGGAGGAAAAGGTGGAGGGGCTGGCTCACTTGACAAAGTCACACAGCTAGAAACCGCGAGGGCCAGCACTCCAACTCAGGCCTTAGGACTCCATTATTCCTCAGCTATTGTTACTCCCATCCCCACTAGAAAAATCAACTTACTTCCTGGGGATCATGGCTCAAAAGCCTCAAGTGTCCCTTCTCATTAAATTGTCGACCTCCTCAAGACTTGAGGGACATTGCTCCATTCCTCTGGGGCTGGTACGGGGTCTGCCAATGAAGAGAGTGAACTCGCCAGCCTGGATAACCAGCTCTCCCGACCCTGGCCAACTTTCTGCAGAGAAGGGCCTGGTCCTGGCGGGAGAGGGCTTTGCCCCACCCCTGCCCCAGGCCCTGGGCCTCACCCTGGAGGAAGAACTTGAAGGTCTCCTTCACCATCTCCTTGCCAATCTCAGGGTGGGTGATGGCGTTGAGCAGGTGCCGTCGGTCTGGCTGGTTAAAGATTAGGTCCCCCAGGACCTCGCGGTTGATGTCGCCATTCTCCAGCAGGACCTCAGTGCCAAAGGCCTCCACGATGCGCCGGTGTGCGGGGTATCCTGGCTGGACGACTGTGGCATGAGGAAGAGGCTGGGTCACTCTCCAGAGCCTCCAGGCCAGCCAGAGGACCCCAAGTGACCAGAGGCAAAATGACAGGGGAAATCAGGGGTGCTTCTTTCAGTTGAAGCAAAAGCAAAATGAGAGGAGGGAAAGCAGTTAAGGAAATCACAGAGCGCACAGACTCCCTCGTGCTGGACACGGGTGAGGCGAGGATAGGGGAGACTAGACAGAAGAGAGGGCAGGCTGGGGGCGGCGAGGAGAAAAGGAGACCAGGGCTGATAGGAAAGCCTTCCCCTCCTCTGAGGCCTCATAGAATGGTGGGCATAATGGAAAACAGGAAGCATGATGGAAGACAGGGGAACTGCGGTGGACAATCCCGCCCTCTCCAGCTCACCATGCCGGGCAATGACGTCGACATCGATCACGGCGCAGCCCAGCTGCTGGAACACCTGAACCACGGAGCTCTTGCCTGAGGCAATGCCCCCCGTCAGGCCCACCAGGAACATCTTCCAGGAAAGAGGGAGGTCAGCGCGACTACACAACCAGGAGCCGGCAATCACTGGAGAAAGGCGAGATCGGCAGATTGGGACAGTCCACTGCAGGAACGCCAGAAGGACCTGCCTGCCAGACGAGAGCAGGCCAGATCAGTGTTGGGAGAGGGAGGCAAAGGAGGAAAAGGGAGACCCGGCCTGGCAGGGCAAAGTCAAGTCCTGAGACAGAAAACTTTCCAGAAAGGCCTTCAGTATTCTTCTAAAAACACTCATAAAGAAGGCAGTCTAAATTTAGCAATCAAAATACTGAGCAGGCAGAACAAGGTCGGGTGCTGTTAAGCAAAGAGTGCTTTCTGGAGGTGGCAGTACCCCAACGCAGGCAAACTCCATGTGGAAAGGGGACCCCTGTCCCTCCGGGATGAACCCAAGGCACTTTCCAGATGCCCACAGAGCCCCCCTCCCCCCGCCTCCACTTCCTAGTCTGGGATACCAAGGCTCTGGGGGAAGAAATGCCTGCTGCCCCAGCCCAGCACTGCCTGGGTGGCTAGTCTAGACCAAGATGAAGACCCCCTCCCCTTCAACCAAGAAGTGGCCCGGACGGGGAGCTCAGTGGCAGCAGTGGCTCAGCGGCCATTAAGCCTGAGGTTTAGAGAAGTGTGGATCTTGCCGAGAAGGAAGGTGAGGGAAGAACGACAGGCTGTGGGGCAGGTAACTCTGTGCTTGGTGTTGGGATCTGAAGCTCCCTCAGACTGAGCAGCAGCAGTACAGCACAGAGGTTAGGAGCATGGACCTCTTCAGCCCAGTTCCTCCATGCTGTGCAACCCTGGGCAAGTCACTTGCCTCTCTGAACCTCAGTTTTCTCATCCATGAAACGGGGATGATAGAACCTGCCTCATAAGGCTGTTGTGCAGACTGAATGAGAAAGTGCATACAAAGCCCACAGTACACTGGTATTTACATGGCAAATGTCCAGCAAAGGAAGTGAGGATGGTGATGTGGGGTGGAAGGTGTAGGTTAAAGTCATATTGCAAGGCACAGAAAGAAAAAGAGTTATGAAGCTATGTCTCCATTCCTGCATCCTCAGACTATCTCACAACAGATTTTTTAAAAAGTCATGTTGTATTTTCTGGAGTAAACAGGGTTACCATGTCTTAAACTTCGTTGCCAGGCTGGAAGAAATTAAAACAAAGGCCAGGTCTCTCCCATCCTTCCTTCAGTGACAAATCACTTCGCCAGGACCTTGAAATCTATCATAGGACTCTTTTTTTTTGTTAAACAGCAGATTTACTGTCCTAATTATACTTTGCTTGAGCTTACACTGAAATAAGTCTGCCTCCCCTGAGGACACACCAAACGACGGAGGAGGCAGCCGCGTGGATGTGGGCTGAGTGGATGGGTGGCTTGCGGCAGCGAGAAGACCAACCCAGAAGTTTCAATCTGCTCAGGCTCATTCTCACCCAGGGAAGCAAAGGGTGGAGAGGGGAAAATACCCATCAGAGTCAATGTCCAAATGGAGAGACCCAACCAAATTATTAAACCATTTACAAAGCATTTCTCCTCAATCTGAGACTAGAGTTACCCTCAGGTGGTTTCCATTCAGTTTACAAAAAGAGGAATTAAGGATAGGGTTCCGTTGTCAAAAAGCAAAAAAGTTCGTTCATTCAGCTGAAACTCTGAAATTGGAAAATCCAGCGTTTTTTTCTTTCTTTCTTTTTTTGCTGCGGAAGATTTGCCCTAAGCTAACATCTGCAGCCAATCTTCCTCTCTTTTTTTTACTTGAGGAATATTAGCCCTGAGCTAACATCTGTGCTTCCTCTACTTTATATGTGGGACACTGCCACAGCATGATGGTGAGCAGAGTACGTCCACGCCCAGGATCCGAACCCGCAAACCCGGGCCACCAAAGTAGAACGCGTGGAACTTTAACCACTCCGCCACGGGGCCTGGCCCAGCAACAGAGTGTTTAATTGCAACTCTGTCCTGTTATCCCTAAAGCAGTGAGTCTGCTCTTCCGCTGAAGATCAATCTAGAAGAATGGGAGTGGGACTTGAGAACAGGCCATGGCCGAGGAAAGCGGTGAGGGCTGGTCCTCCACAGGGCCCTGACCCCTCATTGTTGAAAGCAAGCCACTGTTCACCTGGTCAACCAACATCACCAGAATTGAAGGGGCCTGGAGACCACGTAGCAGAGCAGACCTCCAGCCCCACCGTACCCAGAACCTGGACACCTCCCGAGACCTACTGAATCAGACGCTGGCAATGGGGCACCCAGGCAGTTCTGCTGTGTAGCAGGGCTTCAGATCAACTCTAACTGTTCATTTACAGTGGTAGAGAGTGAGGACCAGAGAAAGGAAGAGACTACACAGGGCCACAGCTGTTAGGGGAGCCTGGATGGAATTCAGGGCTCCTAACTCCGAGTCTAGACCCTTACCCCTCACGGTACTCAGAGAATGAAAAATTAATTTACCTTTAGACTAAGTCAGACAAAACAAGGACGGTGAATGAGTCTGTAGGCAAATCAAGTCAGAGCCAAACACAAATGATTTCTCGATGATCATACTGCGTTTTCCCTCTGCAGAACAGGGAGTGGGTCCTACGGACAGCAACCAGGGCACAGGCATGAATTCCAGGATCAGCTCCGGCCCAGGCTCCCGGGGTGACCTAGTGAATATCCTCCCTTCTCAGTGCCTTGGATGACCATCTGCAGAAACAGACCAACAGCTGCTTGGCCTCCATTAGGAAGGCCAAGGGGATGGAGGCGCACATGCCTGGGGAGGCTCTGGGCCCCTGGCTTAAAGGGGCTGAACAAACAGCAGCTGTTCCCCTCCATAACTCCAACAAGCCCCTCCATAACTCATTCCTTCACTAAAGCTGACTGAGCTCCTCTGTGCTTCGCAGCACGGTGCCAGGATCTCTCGGGCAACCAAAGGAAAACACAGGTCTGGCCCCTCAGGAAAACTGGGGAGACAGACAGTAACAAATGAAACCAGTGCCAACAGGTGAGCAGGAACAGTTACATGGTACCCACGCTGGGCCTGGTGGAGGGGTATGTGGACCCCTCACAGGTCTGCTCACAGATCTGCCCAGGGAGGGAGCTGCAGCGAGCAAGCGCCCACCATCCCCTCAAGGTTTAGCAAGGAGGAAACACAGACTGTCTCTAAATCCCACCTGGACCTGTCCCGCAGCTCCTCCCCAGGCACCCATGGAGGAGTGACCACCTTTGATAACCTGTGTTCATGACCCTCTTCCTGCTCTGGCTCAAAAGTCATCACTCTCCAGAATCTGCTCGTTTCTCCTCATTCCATCGCCATTTACCCGGAGGCGGTGGGAACCTCATGGCAACTCCTAAACCTGGCTCTGATCTGAATCTCCTATGAAACTTCAGAAAAGGCACAGAAACCCAGACTCCAGCCTGGCCCACTGAATCTGAATCTAGGGTGAGACTCTAGTGTACCAGCCAGCGAGGCACCAGACCCACTACTAAAGTGGAAGGTTGTAGACGAGACGTTGAGAGGCCTGGGTCCCGGTCTCTGAACTCTTCCATAAAATGACCTGTCTGACTGCAGGAAGCCTTCTCACCAGCCTGGCCCAGGGTGGGGAGTGAGAAACAGCTGAGCCCCCAAATGCCTGCCCCTCTCTGAGCCTCGGAATCCACGTCCCATGCTGACAGCAGCATCAGCTCCGGGGGAGGCTGTGAGTCACACTGGTGCTTTCTTCCTCCCTCCCCTTCTGTGGTTCAGCCCTCTTCCCAGAGCAGTCACCTAATGCTCGCCTGGGTAACCAAAGAATGACGTGACTGTTGGTGGCCCGGAAATCTTCCTCAACAGCAGAAGCTGTTCACAGAGCTGGCTTGGCTGGAGGATGAAGGACAACACCGAGTCCCACAGTAACAGAGCAAAGCTGATGCCCAGTGCAAGAGAAACGGAAGCTGGATCCCGGAACTCATTCCAGGCCTGGGATTCATCAGCCAAGGTGGGACTCCAATCCCAGGGGGAGCCATGACCAAATCCTTCCTTTACCCTCCTCCTCCACGGCACTGGAAAGGCAGCAGGGTGTAAAGACAAGGGTAAGGACTTGAGTCAGAGAGGTGGTGTGAGCACCTGTGCCATGAGGCTCGTGTGCTCTTGTGCTCCATAAATGGTGGGCCCCTCACTGAGCTTCTCCGAACTGTCTTTCGTTTTTTACCTCTTGGGCCCCAAAAGCCCAGAGAAGACAAAATACATCCAAGAAAGAACAGTTTTTCCTGGAATCTCCTCTGGCAGTGTTTCCGTCAACTGAAAAATGAGAGTGGGCTGCTTCACAGGCCTCCAGATAAAAAGCCCCACCGCCCCATGCTGTCTGTCCAAGTTCTAACCCCACCAGGCCCACCCTGCTAACCCAAGCTGCTAGCACCTTGTGCACAGACCTCTGCGGTAGCCTCGTGACCTGACCTTCTAGTCCCTGCCTTGCTCCCCCCAAGGCAGCCAGGGTCATGGCTTAAAGTGGACATCTGCTCATGTCACTCTGCTGCCTTCTTCCCCCTCCTCTGAGCCCCTCAGAGGTCTCTGGGCCCCATGTGACCTGCCCACTGCCGACCCCTCCACCCCCTCAGTCACTCCTTGTCCACGCCTGTGCTCGTCACATGCCTGCCTTCTGTCTTTGCTACCTCAGAGCCTCCGTGTATGCTGTTCCCCCTGCCCACCACACTCACTTCCTGCCTAACTCCTCTTGATTTATTCCGCATTCATCCTTCAACCAATCAGGCACCAGGCACTGTTGGAAACAAGAGTGCCCGCCTCCATCAAGTCTACACTCTACCTCTGGAGTGGTGGGGATGAACAAGAAGCTTACGGTAAGTGTGGTGGTGCTAAGTTAGGGAGGGTATCAAGAGCGAGGGGGTCATTGTTCTAAATGAGGGCCCAGCGATTCGGCATGAGGACCTGAAAGCTGCGAGGGAGCAAGTCCCAGTTCCTCTCACAGCAGCCTCACCCCACCCCCAACTCAATCAGGGCCCTGACATCTCTCATCGCTCGCTTCCTTTCCTTCCCTGGCACCCATCATGCTTTGTACCTTTATCAGTTTGTGTGCGTATTTCCAATACGTTAGATGAAACAAGCTCCATGGCCACGAGCATCTAGCATA